TTACGTTCCCCGTGCTGCTCAACAAATTCGATTTTGTTCTATTCATAAATTTTCAACTTGTATGTTTTATTCCTACCACCCCCCCCCCCATTTTTGACGTCATTAATTCAATTCAATTATTTATTCATCATGCCAGCATGAAATTCTAATTCTCGGTTTGCACAGGTGTAACCCTCGGTTTAACATCTCGGTTTTAACCCTCTGAAAAAAACCCACCTTTTGTTTTGGGCACATCCGCGTTGCTGGGCGAGCACACTGGTTTCCGGTGCGTACATTATCGATACTGATTGTGGGGCGGAAACCAGCCTACCCCGCGTGAACGGAATTATTGTCTAGCCGCCAATACATTTGAAATTCGAAATTATATTCAATAACTAAACATGGGCCGATTTTTTTCGGTCGATGTCTCATTCAATCTAAGTGACTAACGTTGCTTTTGCTAGAACAATAGTAATTAAGAGAAGCAATTTCTTTTCTGGCAGAAAATCTAAAATAGCACGAAGAACGCAACTTTAAAGAAGAAATCTGAGACAATGAACTACATGTATCCGTAAAAAAAACCTCGTGTTTACTGCGCGTACGCGCTACCTAAAGTGGTGCGCTGCTTTAATTCAATGCGTGGGCATTGGTAAGCCAATCCAGTTCAACAGGGATTCTGATCTAGTAAATAATTTCCCATAGACACCAATGATTACTAGAAAGCACTCAGAGAGCGCACACCTCCGCCTAAGGCTGAACAATTCCTTGCCATTTGCATATCCACTGGACTTCAATATTTTATTACACATTTAAAAATCCTGAAACTCGAGCACTTTGTATGTATGCTTGTGTTGGTCTACTTTTCCACTCCCCCAAAACGGTATAGTCCATTGACCTGTTAGCTTAGATTAGGTCAACCTCGTCCCCAGTGCTTACTCTATTTCCAACCTTGTTTCCAATAGTAAGCCCTGGATAGGAAACTTCCTACCTGCATCCGGATTCGATACCGCAATTGGCTAGAAATGGATTGATATCGTGTACTTGGTGTTGTTATTCACAACGTGCAGAACGTGTTTTCGCGATCATTCGTCCAAGCCTTCTTCAAAATATTAATTTCCTTTCCAATTTGTTAATATAAATATGAAATGTGATACTGCATGTTGTCTCGTTAAGATCGTAACAGTTTCATTAAAATAAAATCATGTTTTTGTAACTCACGCCATGCTCGCGCTGCGACGTATTGATTCTGTTTTTACCCCAGACACCGCATACAAAAACAAACGCAAATGTAACGCACAGGCAGGCACCAGACTACCATTTGCATACGTGTTCAAAAATCTTGCACATGCAAATGATCCAATACCAGGGAGAGCAGGTAGTGGTGGGCGCGTACTGCTCGACACCCTGGGGATGAGGTTGAGATTAGGTGGGTTACAATATTGAGGCATACAAACCAGGTCAGTGCCACGCACACGAACTTGTGCACAGAGCGATCTGGTGAAAGTTACATGCAAACTGGGTGAACAAAAATTTCAAAAAAAAAAAAATCCTGCATCCACACGCAGATCCCGAGCACTTCCAAAATCTAAGCGGTTTGTACTTGTACCAGGACCACCCCTAATTTTCTTTTTCATGACAATCCGTCCAGAACTTTTCGAGTTATCCTGTTCAAAGTCAAACACACTAACCAACCAACGACGGTGAAAACATAACCTCCTTGGCGGAGGTAATTATATACTCCCACTTAAAAAAAGGAGGAAAAAATCGGGAAAAATGCAACTGTCATAGGTGTTCGAGGCATGCATTTAATTATAGCTCAACCCTCTTTCATGTAGTGTTAATTGAAAAACAAGTTAACGGATGACTTTATTTTGGTGATTTTTCCCTTTACTCCTGAAGTTAACCATCGCCATTCAGAAAAAGGAACTCTCCCTCCCCTCCATTGCAAAATAGAGCGACTTTCGGGTCTAATTCCATCCCAAATTGCTCAGACATAGAAGTTCAAAGGCCGTGCTAGAGACGTGACCCTTCATCGCTTTACAAACCCTCTATAATTATGGCTTGGTCCACAATACCATTTAGAGTAAAGTTGACAGTATATATCCTGATTTGGCCGGCCTAGGCAATATTGAGCCTATCCCTCAAATGGAGTAATAAAATAAAATGGCATGACAGACTCCACACACGACCGGTTCTTACAGGCGTATGCAGTACTGTATTTTTTCCCGCATTGGCTTCCAATAAATATAGAACGTTCTATCAAAAGTTACCCCTGGGTAAAAATGTAAGGAACATTTCCTTACATATGTCTGTAAGCGCACCGAAGAACAATTCTATTTCTACTCATAATAATACGAGGGTTGCCAACCACTCAGGAAATCAGGGACTAAAAACCTTGAAAATTAGTTTCATTGTTCATGTCAGGGAACACTCGGGGAATGTGGGGATCAACAGTATATGAGAGAAAACTCTGTAATTTGACAGTGACCCAGAAGGGAAAGGCTTTCAGCAGTTTGGTGTATACCTCTTGTGTCCAATTTTTGTCCACTGACTGATGGCTATGGTGGCTTTTCAGTGTTTTTGCATTGTGACTTTTACACACCTCTCCAGACAATAACAATTTGTTGTGCTACGTACACCACCTCTTGACTTCCCAGCAACCTCATTAAACTGAAAATATTTCTTATGGAATTTTGGAAATTCCTCGGGGAAATACGAGGGAAAACTCAATAAATTTTGTTTTTGCAAAGTGTTGGGAACCCTCAAAGCTACCATCGAGGTACACGTACGTTTTCAGTGGCGGGTAAGGGGGTTTAACCCCCCCCCCCACTTGAGCCAAAAAAAAAGAAGGGAAATATTTGAATTCGCTCATACCCCGCGCCCTGCAAACAGGACGCTGGGATACTCTGATGAGCTTCACAGAATCTTGTGAAGGAAGTGGCCTATGACCAGCATCTAGCTGCAGCTGTTCAAGACCGCAGTTAGACAATGAGCGCAAATGCTATCCGAAAACATACTTATAGAAATGCGCACTTTCCACACCGGATGTGATTTCTGTTTCATTGCGGACTATGTGCACACAATTTTGAGTGTCGCATAATGCAATCCGACCGTTCGTGATTCGAAACGGAGCCTGAGAAAGTGACGGGAATTGTAAATTTAGGCCTACAACACATGCAGATATATTTTACAGAATTTCCTACATTATTACGCTTTTTCAACGAAAACAAAACAGCTCTAAGTGGAATAAAAGAGTAATAAATCAGTCTTAACGGCCGTTTCAAACCTTGCAGAGTCATGACCGTGATGACGCGCAGGTCACAGGTCACACAAAATCCAACCAACCAGAGCGTGAATTCATCAGAGTATCCCAGCGTCCTATTTGCAGGGCGGGGGGTACGAGCGAAATAATTATTTAAATACAAGTGCGAGTGCACAATAAGCTCTGGTGAAATATGCGTCGCCGATGGCACATATGGAACACCATTATTTGGAGGATGTCCTCCTTCTTGATACCGTCCAACCACCACACAAAATGGCGTCCACCTTGCTCGAGGAAGATGTTGCGCAAGTGCGATTGCACAAGCTCTGGTCGTGTCTTAAGAATTCTTCCATGAACGTCTTGCATGAAATCGACCAAAATGATAGTTCAGGAACCCCTAAGCTGTTAGAAAATAGGTAGTGGCAATCGGTACTCCCTAAGAGTACGAGGATAGAAAAAAGTTCAAGTGCACAATATAAGCTCTGGCCGTGTTGCAAGAAGTCTTGCATGCAAGTCTTGCATGAAATCGAACAAAATGATCCCTGCCAGAGCTTAAAATGAAATCGATCAAATGATCCCTGCCAGAACTCGAAAAATGCGAGCTTAAAAATAACACGTCCGCTAACCAATCCCCCTTAATTGCTAAACCCCTCCTGAGCCAAACATGCATTAGCCCATCGATTAAGAGATGACGTTTTGACAGACAACTCAATTTGGTGCCCTTAACACGCCGTATAGTTAATACATTATAGGACACTAACAAAATAGTATAGGCCAAGTGAAAAAATAAACCAGTTTCCCGTCCCCGCCCGCTTCCTTTTTCTAACGCCACGTACGTACGTTCTTCAAGTTTTTCCCCAATCAAATATTTGCAATAGTAATTTTTGTAGCTATGATTGCAGTTTAGAATCTGTTATTAAGCGTTATGACTCATTTAAAGACAAAAGTAGCAACAAAAGAGTCAAGAAATGGAAGAATCCATTCCTTGGAAAATCTGCCATGATCTAAAAAAGGGCCGCCTCCTTCCTTTCTTCCAAAGTCCCAGACGACAAGTTTTTTTTTTTTTTTTAACTTGGCGTTATAAGATGGAATTTTTGCGTCGGGGTGATGTAAATCAAATTAGGTTTTGCCCTTCACTGACGTATAAACACTGTATACTCAATGTTTTACCTCCCGAGTGAAAGTTGGAAAAATCACTCGGGAATCACATATAGCTCAGGCCAAAAAAAACAAGTCTCCGGTTTCTGGTATGCGCGCGCGTCGCCGTAGCCATGCGCGTCGGCAAAATGAAAAAGTTTTTTTTTCAATACAAGATGATGTCTCAAAACCGCCAAACTCCCTGGTTTGACTGGAATCCTGCTGCTGCACAATTTAAACGTGTTTTTAGATGGGGTTATGATCGAGTATAAGATTTATGTGGCCTCTCTGGACTCCCATATATTTGCACTAAGTTTAGTCGGGCACCATTTGCAGTCATCAGCCGACAAAAAAAAAAGCCGCGTCGCCGCACCACTTTTTGGGCAAGCTCCATACCAGAGACCGGAGACTTTTTTTTGGGCCTAACTTGGCGTTAGCTATAAAAATGTCTGGGGTAATTTTAACGTGTGCAAGCATAGAGCAATGGGCACGCTAACATTAGACCCAGCCATGCGTGATCGATGACATTGGAAATATTCAATGGTTGAGGATCGTACACAATGGCTGGTTTGTTGGCTGGCGAAAAATAAAACCTGTAGTTTGTAGGCCACCTGGCAATGCTGTTATGCGCATAGCATGACGAAACTGATACGAAATGCACGTTCAGCATGTCACATAATGTGCCGCAAGCAGCTTGCTACCGGATAACATTTCTATGCACACTAGCAGACATCTTGTTAGTCGAGCGATCGAGTGGATGCAGAGACAGCCGTCTGACTAGTCCTTCCTCCGTGCTGAGGTCTCCTACAGTTTCCATCCGATCCAGCCAATTCAAGGTGGCCTCGATTCGAGTGGGCATCTGGCAGGCGACTTTCAACTTCAAAAGGTTATCATCAGTCATTCAACCTTCAAAGGGAAATCGTGTGTCTGCGTAAAGCGCGATTACTTTACGTACATTTGTTTTTTTCGTCGTTTTTAAGCTGTCACGGATTGGTTGGATCATAGAGCAAGTTGAATGGGAACACTCCTATCTGTTGGCTTCCGATCTCAGTTGTTTATAGGTGCAGTGTGGAAGATATGAAAACACAGCTTGCAATGAATAACGTCATGAACTATGACGTGTGAATCATCACTAAATTCATGTATATATCCTCCCCGCACACTTAATAAATATAGCAACGTCACGGCACATAGCGCCATAAGCTCGGTCACGTACATGTACATGCATGTGTGCAGTGCACGAAATGTCAAGGTCATATGCTGTATGCTCAACAGTGTTGTAGTCGAGTCACCAACGTCGAGTCCGAGTCCGAGTCCCGAGTCACAACACTCTAAAAACAACTTAGTCAAAATATTGACTGGTTTTCCTAGTTATTGAAAATTGATTAGGAATTTAGTTAAACATGCAAAGTTTCATACTATGACTAGAAAAAGTTGTTGGGTTTGTCTCAAAATTCAGTTATTTGCATAACTTTTTAATAATACTGACTGGAAAAGTCTAGTCAGATTGACTGATTTTCAGTTGCACCCAGCTGACCCTGAATGGCTAGTCAAATTTAACTGGTTTCTGGTCAAATCTGACTAATGCTTTTTTAGAGTGAAGTCTCGAGTCCGAGTCGATCCGAGTCAATTGTTCTTAGTTGTTCACCAACTAAGCAAATTTTTTAAAACTATTTTTCAATCATGATTCTGTCTTTTAAGTAAATCACAGTGTACTGTATATACTTTACCTTGTGTGTGTACATCATGTTAAGACCCAAAAAGGGTTTTCCTTTTAATTCCCATCCCTAAAAAAAAAACCCCTTCATCCCTTCCCTCCATGTTTTCTCATCCAACCATTATTCCTCAATGATCTTTTCCCAATTCCCATGGCCCAATTCATATCCCTACGTTATGTTTTTTCTTTTGATGAACATACATGACTCGACTCAAGAGTAACCTAGCTCGAGTCCGAGTCATCATGGTCGAGTCCGAGTCCGAGTCATTTTCCAATGTGACTCGAGTTGAGTCCTAGTCACGAAAAATGTGACTGGAGTCCGACTCGAGTCCGAGTCCTCGACTTGAATCTTACAACACTGATGCTGAAGTACAAGTATACGTTTTACATAATGGCGACAGTGTGAGTTGCTAAAGGCCAGCCGCGGTAGATTTAAATTCTTTCGGATACAAAAAACAAACAAACGGGGTTCGGAAGTATAGGGAAATTGTACGTGAAAGACGGGGCAACCGACCGCATTCAACCACCTTCCTTGATGCTCAGAATAACAGACAATCTGGTTGATATTGAGTGCGCTCGATTACTTCCCCAAGCATACTCGCGCCTGGCTCCTCGCGTGCTGACAGACATGCGCAGTGGAACTAAATAAACGAACAGTTTTGGGTAAAGTTTCGTGCAAGAGCTGGAAACAGGGGCGTCGCCAGGATTTTTTCTAGGGGGGGGGCAAAACATATTTTCCAATTTTTTTTTCCTGTTTTTCTCAACATCTTCTCGATTTATCAGTTTTAGAAGGACAATTGCCCCCCACTCATTAAATTTACACCAATATGACTTCTCACCTCTTTTCTTTTCTTTCTCTCTTTTTTTTTCTTCTTGGTTTTTTTTGCTTTTCCAGGCGGGGGGGGGGGGGGGGGGAATGTTGCAACCTGACGCCACTTTTTTTCTTCATAATCATCTCAATGAAGGTCATTCACTGCAAAAATGATGATATGACATGAATCTGGGACTGAGAAATATTTCCAATTTTGTTATGAAAACAATTCTTGACTCTCCACAGACTTTGTACACAATCGCGGAAGTGACGTCAGGTTGCATTATTTTCCCAAGGTTGCATCCGAATCAATAAACTGTCAAGAGCACGTTCACTCCAAGTGAAAATACGCGGGGACGCGCTGACAATAATTCTTAGCCGTAGCTCCGTGCATAGCGCTACATAGGGTTTGTAGCTCTCCGTGGAAGCTCGTTTCGGACACGGCCTGAGGCGCCCGCCGGACGTTGCAGGGCCTTATGGGATACTTACCGGCTCGGCGAGTCGGTTACTTGGGCCAGGCTCGAGTAAGCGCGAGAAGTCACGTGAGAGGTACATCGAACGCTGTCGCGCTTGCACGAGTAAGCGCGGGGGAAGTAATCGAACGCACTGATTGTGGACCACCTCCCCAGACCGACACGACGGACGCGTCAAGACGTCATCCTCTTGACCTACAAAGGACCAGCTCACTTGGCTCATGAGCCAATTGAGCTAACTATATGCAAATCCAAGTCAGCTCAGCAGTCTACGCCAACAGCCTAACAGTTTTATTTGTTTATTTTTAGGATAATCCCACACTGGAACAGCTAGCCACACTCAATCCTACAAAAGCTTACAGCTTCAAATCTGCAGTAAAGAACCACCTGAAATACTTTTTCTGCTCCAGGATCCAGTCATCAAAAGTTCATAGGTCATCAACTCTGATGTATGTAATGCGGCTAGCCGTTTTGTCAGTTCATAAAGATCCAGATCCAGATCCTTGACTTTTTAGCTCGGTAAGTTTTGGAATAAATTGCTTATGCACGTAAGACCACAACAAATTGAACACATAATCAAGAAGAAGCCGGGTTCGGGGCTTCTCATCTCACAAGCCACCATGTGATATACATGTATATGTACTTGTTACATTTATTAACATTTTGATATTGTTAATAAATATCCTGTCCCTTCTCGATGCTGTGTTCGATGTGCAAATCTTACTTTAGAAAACACGAACTTAGTTTTGGCCTTGTACATCCATGTATTTACTGCAATCGGAATGGGGACGTCCGCACGCTTCGATTCATCATTGTATTCTTAATCGATTGAGTCACAAAGGTCATTGTTTTTGACCTGCTACGTGCGGGCCATGCATTAGTTTATACTTTATCAATCAAATCTGTTTGACAAACAGGGATTACGCTATATCAAAATGGAGTCACAAGAGGACAAAAAGCGAGCCATCAAACGTGAATGGAAGCGACTCTACGTCTTCTGTTTAAGCTTCTTTCTGTGTTTTGTAGCCTTCCGTGGGCTGCGAGATATACAAAGCACATTGAATTTAACGCAAAGTGTAGGCTTTGCGAGTCTGACGGTACTGTATGCTAGCAGCTTGCTGGCAGGTCTGACGTTACCAGCCGTAGTGCGCTGCCAACTCGGCACTAAGTGGGGCCTAGTGTTAGGGATCTCGCTCTTTGCTGTGTACACAGCCAGCAACTACTGGAGTAGTGCGTATCTGCTACTCACTGTCGCCTTGTTTCCAGGCGTCGGTGCCGCCTTGATCTGGGTGGCAAGAGGAACTTACATCACCACCATTGCCATGGAGATGGCACATCTCAAGGGAAGGAATTCTGCCGTGGATATCGGTCTATTCAACGGAATTTTTCACACGGTGTCTTACTTGGGTACGGTGTGTGGCAACTTGATCTCCTCATTGGTGTTTTATGGCCAACCCGGGGACGAGGATGATGGTGATGACATCAGCAGTGTCATCGGCCAATGGAATGCCAGCGCGCCAAACGCGGAGACTGCAGATGTGTCCTTCTGCGGCATGAGGGCATGTGGTGAGAATTCTAGACTTTTCTGACAATTGGGGTCAGCACCTTATGCCGGCCATTTTCCATTCTTGACGTTCGTGCGCTTGCTCATTTTAAATGGACAAAGCCGGAACCTGTGATGTCGATGAAAGTTACATGCATTTTAAAAAGCTGGGTTTGGGCTAGAGAAGGTGATACAACAAGTTGATGAAATCTGACCGAATTCTGAAAATTAAGTTAAGCATTATTTTGGGAAAAGGTAATTTGGGGGTGCTGCACACTATGTCTAATTGGGCGCTATTGGTAATACATGTTTATTAGTCTTAATTGCTCGTAATATTATATGCAGCTCAGACAGACATATGACTTTGCCAAACAAATGGATCGAGGGGAGGGGGAGGGGGCTTATCCCCAATAAAGCCATCCCTGGAATTCTAACATTGCCGTGCAATCGATCTTGTTCCTTACTGTAGCCTCGTCCGAATGACTTGGCTACGGAAATAACACGGGTCTATGGGAAGAGGCTGCACCCGCTTCCACATCCAAGTAATCTAGACTCTACTTTTTCTTCCCACCAGGAGGCGATATCGAGAGCAACCACAGCGTCCTCCGCCCCCCAGACCAGTCGACTCGCACCACGCTCATTTCCATCTACCTGGCTTGCGGCGTGCTGTCAGCGGCAGTTGCTGTGGTTTTCCTGGACAAAATCGACGTGGTCGAGCCCGGGACCAGACTTAGTGGGAAAGAAGAAGAGGTGGCGGCCGACGGCGAACGCCCACGGTCTACTTGGCGGGAAATCACGGCCAACATTGCCGCCACCTTCCGCCTGATGACTAACCCGCGCATGGCAATGCTCATACCAACGCTGTTGTACTTGGGAGTGGATGTGATGTTTATGGGCGGCCATTTTACAAAGGTGGGTTTGAACTCTTGGTGGTAGCAGACATGCCGATAGACTGGTTCCCCGACCTGACAATTTCCCCCGACGTCCACACGTCTAAATTGTAGGTCAGCCTCCGTGGCTAAAAATAAACCGCCATGACGACATTGACGGCCCTTTTTTCAAAGCTCGGCTTCGTTTCCGAATTTGCTTTATCACTTAAAGCTTTTAATGTTCCTATCAAATTTTAAAAATAAATCACTTGCTTCATATATCATACAGTTATGATAATATAGTTTGATATTTCTGTAAGAAAACATTGACTAATGTTGAACTGGGATCTTGAAAATTAGGCACCCAAATAGCACTGTTAGCTGGCGGAACCGAATGAAGACCGAGTTTTGGAAAATCTCGGTAACGGTCGTCAAATTTAAAATAGTACATGACGAAGCAAAAAGTTCGCCCATACGATCCGATCGATGCACAAAATTGTCGTTGAATTTAAAGTTTTCTAAATAAAAGCAATGAATATTAATTATCAACTCATTTAAAAAAAAGTTTTTAATAAGCAATAAACAGTTAATTAAAACAATATTATACTCGGAAATACTCGGCCGCTATCCGATTGTCGACACAATTCGGCAAACTTCGGACATTTTCGTAAAAAGGAGGAATTCCTCCCGTTTTAGTCACGTGACGTAAATTTTAATACATGAACAATGTATTACCGGAGGCTACCTGACCTAAGATTCATCAGAAATAGTCAGAATCGTTTGGTTTGGGAACCAGACTAACATGCCGAATGATCACGTATGCGCACAACCGAAAGATTCACCGAAACAGGCTTGGATTTATCGGTTCATGTTGTGCAATTTGCCAACCAGTTAAAACTAAACCACTGCAAATGTTAAGTTAGACGTTTGGTGACTTGAACCTCAGCATGTATATAGACCTTGTAGATAGGCATTTTGTAAATCAAATAGTGTTTTGATTCCGTTATTGCAGTGGTCTGAAATTATCTGCTCGTATCCACTAACTTTGGTCACATAGTTTTTCGTTGGTTGCACACGAGGGATCGAGGTTGTCGGCTACGTCATGATGGGCAGTTCCGTCTCCAGCTGCATCTCATCCTTCCTGATTGGTCAGCTGATGAAGTGCGTCAGCAGGTTTGCACTCTTCATCGTTGGGGGCGCTACTTACCTGCTGGTACTAGTTTTCATGTTGGTCTGGGACCCTGACCAGGGCAGATTGTGGCATCTCGTTCTGATGGCTGTGGCGGTTGGCTTTGCAAGAGCAAGCATTGCTACGATAAGCTCAAGTAAGCCATCGCAAATCAAATTACGAGTCATTCACAAGTCACATCACAAGTCGATCACAAGTCAAATACAGTTAACACTAAATCAATTACAAGTCACAACACGTCATTCACAATTCACATCACAAATCAATCAAATCACAAGTGACATCAAAAGAATCACAGCAAAAGCCAAATCACATGTCGATCACAGACAGGTGACAGTGAATGAACGCTGATATATGAAGGAATGTGTCACCAATTCGGGATTCCTTAATCGTCCCTTGACTTGGGACTGAATGACTTGTGAAAAACGTGATTGACCCATGATTTGACTTGTGATTTGTTGACCTGTGATGAATTGTGAGTACTTGTTTAATCTCCTTGACTTACAGTTTCTGTAACCTTACAAATTTAGGTTCACATTTTGAGTCGAAATGACTGTACGTCTTTGATCTTTATTGTCATTTTTGTATATAGCTCTTTTGGGAATGCTGTTTGTATGTCAACAAGAGGCAGCGTTCGGCAATCTGTGCTTCTGGCAGTCCCTGGGCTCCGCTGCCATATTGGCCCTTGGTATCCCACAATCCATGTGTGCCTACCACGTGATCTCAATCGTCATGTGCATCCTCGTGTTCGCCCTGGGAATGTTCTGTTTGCTGGAGCTGCGATTGAAGCGAGAGCAGACACCAGGCGAGAAGAAGCCTGAGAAGGAGGCTGAGGGGAAAGAAATGACGACAGAAATGTTGGCCATTGCAGAGCCGACCAACAACGAAATATCAATCGACTGATGACATGTAGAGATCCCTATCATACCTATGAACCTATCCAGGGGCTGTCTAGTATGCAGCTTTTACCATGAGCCGAGGTTAGCACCAGTGACTCGCATTGCGCGCGCAGAATGCATATTTATGAATCATGGCGGTAAAGGTACCCATAATGCTTCCCGTTTATTTTTTTGGAATGAAATGAGTCGCCCCGATCACCATTCGATATTGCAGTTGGTACGAGCAGCATAACAGCATACACCGAATAGCTCTTTGTGCAAGAATTCGTTTCAGTTGAAAATTGAAACAAAAAAGTTTTTATATTTAAAAACCAAACATAATTATCAACATTAACTGACTCCAATTTACAAATAGAGCCTTTGTCAAGCTGATTATAAAATGCTGTATTCGTTTTCAAATTTGACATTTTAAACTTTTTGAAATTATAGTTTAATTTATTTACTGCAACACAGTGATTGTTATATTTTTAAATTATCAAATGTTTACTACAACACAGTGACTGTTAAAGTTCAAGGGGCCTCGAAAGTGTTGCAAAAAGCGCCCTCTCTTGTTCATGCACGGAGCCCATAAAGCATCAAATCATTATATCGTAGAGTTTTAGGTTAATTACTGGTGGCGCTGTTTACAGTGGAGACATGGGTCAGCGTGAGGTCAGCATGCACGCACAAGCAGGCATCGCTGTCACGCGCGTGCGCAGGCAGTTGCAATGCCGTGCAGATATGGAGTGTAGTGGATCGTTCACGGCCGGCCGGCTGGCTCCGTGAAACTCGAGGCTCCAGATTCGAGTGTTGTTCAAGATTACTGAGGTAAATCTCAAATTATTACACTGACTAATTGTTCTGAGGAAGTGATTACAAGCCATTTAGACATTGGAATGTTATGTGATTGCCTCCGAGTTATTTTGTCTGTCCTTTTATTAAATAAAATTGAACCCCGACAACAGTACACCCTACAATACTATGAGATGAACTGTTATCAATTTATTTTAAGCACAAAAGGCTCTTAAATTATTCATTTGCAAGAAAACAAACTGACTCAAATTCTGGTTAGAAAATTATTTTCGCTGGCACAATTTGAGTTCTCATATAATATGTCAAATTTCGTTATCATTGTACATGTACGATTACGTCCCTGTGCTGTATGTGCCGGCAGCTTAGGGTATATTTATGCACAACGTCTATGGGCAAATGGCTCTAGAGGCTTCACCGCCAACATTTCGTATTCCAATGCCTTTTGACTCGTTCGGCTTCTGTCAATACTGCCTTGACAATCAGAGGCAAACTATATTAATTGCAATATCTGTAATATTTCGGCCCTCCTCTCGGTGCGTATCGTTTTCTAAAGGTTCGTTGTTTACGCGGTTGCGTAATTATCTAGACCAACCTTGATTGCTGCTGAGGATTCTGTGTTTGTTACCGGAAGCCGCTTCCGCTCCTACGCGGTGCTGCAGCGTTCCATATCGATTCGTGACTGTTTATGACCGCGATGGTCGTCATTGTTCAATTTCAGGACGATATTTTGTTAATTTCAAGATGCTATTTTGTTAAAACTGGAAACTATAATTACAACGTGATTCCCATTGGCTGTTACGTTTCCCGCTTCCAGCGTTAGCACCACCCATACTGTAAGATTGAACAAATTATACAAGTTGAAGCCTTCATGTCAAATTCAGGCTCGTTTCATGATTGGCTAGGCTTGGTATGACGTCAGCCTGTTAGTTGTCTGCGGCTGCTTAGGTGCTGAGGCGAGCGAGTGGCGTTTTGTACTCGGTGATATAGGCCCTATACGATCAACACTAACGGAGTCTCGATCATTGCGTCAATCAGGTTTAGTCTTGGTGGTCAGGCTCTTTCCTGATCGTCGTTCGGTACAGTACATGCGTAGATAGCTGCCTATTAGGTTGCGTTTGCGTGTTGTGTGAGTCGCTCAATACACTAATCAGAACAAGTTTCAAGTAAGATTTTAAGTTGAAGCTCTCTCGCGTTTGTTGTTTTGAGTTTTACGTGCGTAGTCGCCTATTAATTCGCGTGGTTATGTGAGTCGTTCATAAAAATCCCACAGCGTAGTGGATTGTGCTCAGAATTCATCTGCATCTTGGACAATGGACGGAGGAGCAGCTTTTGTTCTGATGCTGTCAGCAATGGCAGGTAAATATCACCTGTTGTACATCCTCAAATTCCTGATTGGTTTGTTGGCAAAAGTAGACAAGATTTGCCATGATATCTGGATCAGGGACATAAGGTGCATCCCACATTTCTTTTCCAACAACCCTCCCCCTAATTTGGTAGAAGCCGATCACTATATTGAATTGGGTGATCGTATCCTGCCAGTTATTTGTTTCGTTTGACAAGATATTGATTTGGAGATATGATCACAGTGATGATTGAATAATCAACACTTGATTTTGTTGTTATCAGTGCATACGAAAAAATTTCAAAAAATGGTTAATTTTTGGGTTACTACGTCAAAAGTTTCCTAACTATGTAAATGAAATGCATAAATACCTAAGACAGTTTACCCATTGGCCCATTCCTATTGGTCGAGATCCCGTCACATTGCCGGTCTTAAATGAATCATAAAGACCTGCTAGCGGCCGGCCGGCTGGCTGGTCTTAAACACTTTTCCATCCTTTTGTCATCATCAATTTTGATTTGTAATCAAACTCCGCCCATCTACCTCAGGTAATGTAATAAATGAATTGGCGCAGTGACTGTATATATACGTATGCCACTTCGCCCATGCCTTAGAGTGGCGGAGCTGCGAAAAAAAACGATGCCACTGTCGCAAAGATTAGGTCAGCACGCACGAGTGGCGAAGCCACGAGGCCTTTTCCAACTTGATTTTGTTGAATTATTCATATTTTTATGCAAATAAGAAGAATGCAGAAAGGTTAACCAATCACAATGCGGATTTTGCCTAGTTGCTTCCATTTGTGAAAGATGGGTGAGTGTAAGGAAAACAGTACAAGTGCGCGCACAAGTGCAAGTGCGGGCACAATGCCCAGCCAACAACGATATAACCGTGCGTGCACGGTACGCTTACGCACGACCATGCAAAAACGATGTCAATCACTATTTATATGCAGTGGCTGGCCGGTCAGGAAAGTCGGGGTAAAATAATGTCTAAGTGTGTCCACCAATTATGCATGCGCGTGTTTATGGTGTAAAATCGAGGACACACACGTGCAAAATCATCGAAAAATTGAGGACAGGAACCAAACCGAGGACTCCCGGTTAGAAAACGTGTACAAAACCAATGAGAGCTGTTGCGAAAAAGTTAGAGTATACACTAAGAAAAAGGGAAGAAGAACAATAGAAAATAATCGATTTACACCATAAACAAACATGCTGGTAAACATGTATGTATGGAGCCTTTCTGCAGCTCCATTCCCCTGTACATTTGGGTAGGCATTCACTGTGTGGACTTCCGAACAAAAGAGGTCAACATAAACCAGGTGGAGGCGACGTTGTGTGGACTATGGGCAAGTCCACACAGTGTTTCCCCATTGCTGGAAAACATGTTTAGAGGCATTTTTGGGTAAGGTTTATCTGTGGCAGAATGAAGAGAAACACTAAAGGGAATCATAGAAAAAAAATTGGATTGAAAGAGTTTTTCTCAGTTTCACTGTTTTTCTTAACTACACGAAAGCAATGGAATGTCCACACTAGGTATGTAACGTAAACATGTGTGTGCGTGCATGTGTACGTGTTCATCTTTTCAAACCGTGGACGAAAAATACCAGAGAAAAAAAGGAGAACAATATAGTCCACGATTCCCAGCATACGTCCGCGATTGGAGTCGTGTACAAAACCTATGGGAGTCTTCCTAAAAAGTTATAAGGACAAACAAAAGAGGGACAATAGGACTCCACAATCGACGGTGAACACACGTTTGGGTGCGTGCGAGCATGGGCGTGGGCGAAGTGGCAGGGGTGAAGTGCCAATTTGGCGAACTTGGTACGATAATTTGCGAAGTGGTAATATTCAGCGAAGTGGTAATTCGGCGAAGTGGTAATTTGGAGAAGTGACTGTAAAACCATAAATGAATGGCCAGGTATAGGTTTCCTCAAATACTGATAATTTCATCAAATTAATTAACGGTGAATGAAACAAAAAAATGCATCTTGGACTATTTCATTGCACTTTCAATTTTTCATTAACTAACATCAGTTATTCAATAGGGTGCGCATTGTGTAAATCGCAGTACCCGACATGTATTATAGAATTTCGGAAACAAGAGCCCACTTTTTGGCCGACTTTCTTTTTCCAGTCAAGCGCTTTAATAATGAATAAAAAGGAATGTAATGAATAAGACCATTTCCAATTAGTACACAACATTCTGATTCGAGGGTCCAGGAAATGCGCCACCAGGAGTGAACTTCCAGGCTCTATAGGCAAAAAGTGTCAAATAAGGACCACTGTGAGTAGTAGCGCCCCCATTTGTCGGTCAACCCCCTCCACCTTTCGATTCTGCGACGGCCGCGTATTAACCCAAATAGCATAACACTAATGGTGATTCGGCTGTGCGTTTACACTCTGCTTTAGGCCCCATTATGATGGATAAGAAGAAGACAATGTTATCGTAATATTGGGAGCTGATTGCGTCTTTTTCATGGTGTTTTTCGTAGTAGTGATGGTCTCGTGCCATCAAGTCTGCTTCATCGGATCGGAGTACAACCCACAATCTGGTAACCAACCCTGTTGGTTCTTACCGTACAAAGATCCGTGCAACTGCACCGCTATACGTCTCGGTGGGATGCACATCCCTGCTTCGTCATACCGCCAAGGGGCGCCTCACTACCTGAAGGAGCTTTTCCTGAGTGAGTATTCTGACGAAATTCAAGCTTACTTCAAATGTGAGCCTGCAGAGAAAAACCCAGGTAGTAGACACATGTTATGTTTGAAATGCAAAACAGTAACACGTTTTTATTAAATTTGGACGCCAGACGTCACTTAAGTTCTCTTTAAATTCTCCAATAATGTGATTCGTGATTAAGTACAAGTACCCTTATACAAGTGTGCCTTTACCATCTCGTGGAACTGATCATTTTTCATTTCTTTTAAGAAGTATTAATCATGTAGTATGTGAATATATTATATGAACCAATCATCACGAAAAAGCCATTTTTGAGGGAATGCCACACTCGCACGCGGCCTCAAGCGAGGACGCTGCACGCGTTCTTAAAAACAAGACGCGCACGCATTTAAGTCATGCAGCCCATTTACAATAGTCAAGAAGTCCATTTACATGGGAAATGTTCCTCTGTGCAAAATGCAAGGTTTTTTTTGAAATACCTAATGACGTATTGTTATCTTACCCAACTGGTACCCCGACACCTACCCCAACCGGTACGGAGAAACCAATCCAAGCTAGTGCGGGGATACCTACCCCAGCCGCTACAGAGAAACCTACCACAACCGTTACGGAGAATCCTACCCCAGTTGGTACGGAGAATCCTACCCCAGCTAGTGCGTAGAAACGTACCCCAGCCGCTACAGAGAAACCTACCCCAACCGTGACGGAGAAATCTACCCCAGCTGGTACGGGGAAACCTACCCCAACTGGTATGGAGAAACCTACCCCAGCTGGTACGGAGGAACATACCCCAGCCGGGACGGAGAAACCTACCCCAGCTGGTGCGGAGAAACCTACCCCAGCCAATACAGAGAAAAACCTACCCCAGCCAATACAGAGAAACCTACCCCAGCTGGTGCAGGGAAACCTACCCCAGCAGGTGCGGGGAAACCTACCCCAACTGGTATGGAGAAACCTACCCCAGCTGGTACGGAGAAACCTACCCCAGCCAATACAGAGAAACCTACCCCAGCCAATACAGAGAAACCTACCCCAGCCAATACAGAGAAACCTACCCCAGCCAATACAGAGAAACCTACCCCAGCTGGTACGGAGGAACATACCCCAGCTGGTACGGAGAAACTTACCCCAGCTGGTGCGGGGAAACCTACCCCAACTGGTATGGAGAAACCTACCCCAGCTGGTACGGAGAATCCTACCCCAGCTGGTATGAATGTTTATACCACAGTCGGTACGGGGATATCTTTCCAAGCTGGTGCGGGGAATCCTACCCCAGCAGGTACGAAGAAACATACCACAGTCGGTACGGAGAAACCTATATAGGCCTATTATAGCATACCCCAGCTGGTACGGAGAACCCCTTCTTTACGGGGAAACATACCCCAGCTTTTGTCGTATGATCTTCCGTAATCATAGGTTTGACTATAAGCATATGGTTTTGTTCTATCACAAGGGTATACATTGTATTGCATTGAGATTGAACATTTTATTTCTTACCGACTATCAAGGTTTATCGAAGGCTGCTTACCCAACTCCTCCAAATTAAAAGCAAATACATTCAGGTGTTTTAGTGCAACTCCCAAGAGTAAAACCAACAGAATAAACAACGGAAAATCCATTGATGCAAGGTCATGCTCGTTGTATTTACTCCCAAATTCAAAATGTTTCTCACTGCCAAAATTAGAGGGAGGGAGTGAAATGTGCAGTTACAATTGTGCGTTTTACCCCCAAACAAAGTTGGGGAGGAAATTATCATTCTCTCAATACATTTAAAAAAAAAAAAACTATCAATATGAATAAATATTTACTTTGCTTACTCATTTGTTATCAACAGTGTGTTCCAGTCCGCAACCCCTTGGTATGGAGGACGGGACAATCCAAGATGATCGCATCACGGCGTCCAGTATTCGGAGCACTACATATCCAGCCCGGGAGGCACGCCTCAACAATGACAAGGGATGGTTAGCCTCGAGGTAGATATCAAAGAGAAATACCACACCTGACACTTCACTCTCATATTCACTCTGTATCATTACAATGCCACAAAACCCTCCTGAATGTGTTTAATTAATGAACATCTAATTGCCTCAGTGGGGTTTTGTTTCTCTACGTTTTGTTTTATTTTGTTTGGCATTGTTTTTCTTTTTTGCAATGGTTCTCCTTTCCATTATATAAAAAAAGTTATCATCCCCGGCCAAATCCCAACCCGGACTCATGCGCATTTGAATTGCACACTGTAACAAGTTTCAATAATAATATTTGATTTTCAAATCCATTCCACAAGCGGATTTGCGGAGTATTGTTATTTCATTGTTCCTCATCCTCTCCTCACTCTGTGTACAGTGACGACGCCAATCCCTGGATCGAGGTGGACCTCGTCCAGAGTACAGTGGTGACTGGAGTCACCACACAAGGCGGCTACAGTTGGTATGTGACTGCGTACAAGGTGGCGTACAAGAAGCAGCCCTCATTCGACCGTGAACACGTGACGGATGGAAACGGAAACGCCAAGGTGAACATCAATCTTTACTAAGTCTTGCTGTAAGCTGCATTTAACATTCGTTCGTAAAACAGTTTTGAAAAGAAAATGTAAAGGTTTTTTTTTCTTATATTTTGTTTGGGCTTTTATCGCAATATGATAACTTCATTATTAACGACTTTGCTCATGCAACCATTTAGCCATTCTGAAATCGCGTCTGATTATACCACGTGTAAACAAAAAAGCATGTCCTGCTTTTGATTAGTTTTCTCAGCTATAAGATTTTTCATTCAAATTCACCAGCTCTATTATTCAATTTCGTCCACGAAAAATTTCACACGCTTAAACAAAACCAATTAAGTCCAATTTAGTCCAGATTTTGGTCCTAAAATAGCAAAACGCTCTGAAGCTGAAACAGAAACGTATGTCTATAATGTCTATAATAAGTCATTATGTCTATTATATGGCTGAGAATGATCAGAAAAGTGAGTGCCCACCAAAGACAAGCAGTTTACTTTATATAGTTATTACGGTTTGTTGAAATTCTGTTTCGAAGGAAGACCCCGTCAGCTAAGAATGCCAACTTGTTTGTAGTTTCGGTCCTAGACTTTACTACAAGTAGGCTATTTTTATACAAATCTTCGTTTATTGCGTTGGGATTCATTTCAGGTGTTCATCGGTAACACTGATGCCGACACCCCGGTCACTAACCTGTTTGACGAGAGTGTGGTGGCCACGGTAGTCCGCATTGAGCCTACTGAACGGTATGCTCATGCCGCTCTGCGATTGGAGCTGCTTGGATGTTGTCGTGGTTAATTCAACTGAAGCATTCAGGTGATTCTCTCCGATAGCGCTGACAAAATTTCACTCTATATAAAATAGTCCGAGAGCCCAGTGAGGTTTTATTAGAATATCGCGCACAAAAGGTCTGATGGTGGCAGCGAGTAGGTGGGGGTGTCCAACCTTCGAAACCGTCATTCTTAAGTGTCACACCCCGTGCGTTTGGGAGGGGGCACCGCCTAAAGACCCCCCAAAATTGACTTTCAATTAGAATGTCGCGCACAAGCACGAATCCAACGCGAAAAGATAGTATTCGATGAACTTATCAATGACCAATTGTTTAAGAATGAGAAATTCCGTGCATTCCATGCTTAAGAATGGCCTAATTAGTGCTAATTATTCACCTTTAATAAGAATTTTGAGCACAAGCGTGAAATCCTTTCTGAGTAAAAGCTAATTAACGTTACCAAAATGCAAGATCAGCAGTTTAACTCTTTCGCTACAGAATTTAATTGACCTTTTTTGTCCCAACTGGACGTAATTAAAAGCCGGAAATTCCGCCGAGCGTCGATGTGGGCGCCGCTATCTTTAAATGTATCTCCGTAAACAAACTGCTCACAATAACCAAAAGCACACCCCGGCCAGACAGAGAGCCGCTGGCAGCGGCTCAAACTAGGGTCAGGGGTTATACGATATAAATTATGTAGATATGTCCCACGTCATGGGGATACCCTGTTTATTCATAGCGACGCAACCGAGCCGCTGCCAGCGGCTCTCCGTACGACCTGTACAATTTGTATGTGCCGCTGTCAGCGGCTCGCCGTAGCGAAAGATTTTCCCGTGCATTTTGTGCTGAAGAACGAGTTAAAGTTCAATAATTAGCCGCCCGCTACAGAATTATTTTTTTGATGTGTTTAATTAGACTGTTGAGCACAACGATCGTTCCCACACCAAACGAGAGTGTACCAGTCAGCGTTTGCAGGATTTCAACTTAAGAATAAAAAATCTCGTGCAAAATCTACTTAAGAACGGCTTTATTACTGCTAATTACGATTGTATGGTACGAAGGCCGATTTCTGCACGGCTTAAATAGTGAAAACGTAAGAATTGACTTCCTTTTAATTCTCTTAATATCTACCCCATGTACTTTGTCTGCTGACTACCCTAGCCCTATACATCCCTCAACATTTCCTCTCCCACAATGCTCACAGAACATGCACAAAACTGACCAGCAAGTCCGATAGACATTAACGCACGCTAACGCCTGTATCCATTCACGGCTGGGATACGTATCATCGATGTTAACAGTGCAGGTCATTGAAGCGATAATATAACGGTGACAATGATCCCTTTTGTTAGCGGTGATTGCTGGAAAAACGAAAACGAACTGATCGTATGCATTAATTTATTGCGAGCGATAGTTCCAGTGAGATTCCAATCTTCTAACCGAACTGAATTCAGACACATTTTGTTATCTTACATCCGTGTACACATTCGAAGTTAAAAACACGATCGCATTTATATTTATTTGTCGTATACGTGTAGGTCTACACATTTTTTTTTTTGATAAACCAAAAACAGTTTTGAGTCCACAACATAAACACCGCTTATTTAACACCAAAAACGATCAGAAAAATACATACGGGTCTCACCTTGTAAACTCAATCGGCCAGATTCTTCGTAATTCAATCAAAACACTGCGCTCCAACTTGTTTCTTTGCATCGTTATATTCTCACGCTCAGCATTGATGTACATCCAACATTTATCTAACCAATGCGGCAGCAAAAAGCGATTGCATAAACACCACGGACAATGCATATGACCCTTACCGGTGGCTTTGTCATCGCTCGATGACTCAGCACTATGACGTATAACTGGATTCCCCCACTCGAGTACAAATGCTGTTGTTTATGATAGGGAAACGAGAACGGGGCCTGTTTACTGTACTACGAGAACAAGGCCTGTTTACTGTACTACGTAAATTGTGTTATGTACTTTTTGCCTTTATATCGTATAGTTTTCAGAAACTTGCACGAAGAAAAGAAAGCGAGATTCTTAAGTTAGAAAACCAAACTTCCAACACCCTTAGCCAAATGATTTAAGCGTGGAAAACGATCGTCTACTGGTATTTCAGTTAATTCAACCAAGGGCGCCACCGTACTTAAGGCCCTTTGTCCAAGGATTATTGGCCCTTCCGGGAATTATCGATCGCTTTAGAACCACATGGAGTGATCAATAATCACTTCCGGCACACCTGCCCAAATTGCAGTCCCATTGTCCGAGGGATTATCCACTTATACTGACCACACGCGAGCGCCACTTACAGTCCCATTGTCCAAGGATTATCCGTTACAACTGGCCGTGTTCACTACCGTTCCCATTGCGCAACCAGTAGCAATATGTCGAAACATAACTATACTGTATTGAAATTTTTATATTTTCCTCCCATACATTATGCAATCTTTCCCATAGGAAAGGTCAAACTGTACTCGGTTCCTTACCCTCTGCTATTCCCTATTCATCCCATCCATACAATAGGTCAAACTGTGCCAGAATTTCCTAACCCCATTAATTCATAATTATATCTGTATATACATATTTACATATTTATGTGGTTTTACATATTTATGTGGTATGTGGTTTTTCTTTTGCCAACTCACAGCGCGGCAAATTGTCGTGACAACACAGACTCGCGTTCCCGTTCTAGATGTTATTCACTGTGGTATTTTGCTGTAAATATAAGACAATTTAAGTCACGATATTGAATCATTGTAGAATAATTTAGGTGTACATTTTGGTGTTAGATGTATAGTGTATTGTTACGGCAAAGTAACATTTTATTGCTAATAATAATGTTGGTACAGTGTTGGAATTTTTTTTATCAATGTGATGCCTTATTGCCGTGGTGTACAGGTTTATCAGAATTCCAAAATTACAAAGTTTTCGAGGTCAAATACAGTGGAGGTTAGCTTTTGTGAATGCAGGAACCTTAAAAAAAAAGAATAAAAGAGAATATTTCCCAAATATTCGTAGTTCCGTGTGAATATCGACGAGTTATCGTAAAGAGAAGCTAAGAGGCAGCCATCTTGATCTCATTGAGGGATATACCAATATTGTACATATATAATTCAAATGCTGTTTTTGCTGAGCGGTTATGTTCCTATTTGTGAAATAAAAATGCCTATAAATAAACCATGTATTTGGTCTTGCTTGTTTTGTATTTGCTTGATTCGTTCGATGATCGAATCATAACTCGAATCAGATCAGCAGATGTGCGATGCGATAGGATTAGAAAGCAGAATGGATTTGCGGCCAGTGCACATTTGATTGCCTGTAAAAGTGACCACTACTTCGTCAGCGAGGAAATATGTATATTGTATATTGTTTTCTCTTCATTTTATGTTTCTTTCTTTATTTATTTCATTTTTGTCAAGGGAAAGAAGAAAATTCCCTTGGTCCCCCTCCTCGTGACTCCCATGTTACTTTATGGTACATACTGTCTGACAGTGCACCATGAATATATGACGCGATAAACGACCCATTTATTTGATATTTAATTAGTTTCCTCCTGAAACGTCCTCTAGGGATCTTGAAAACATTATCTAGGGATGTTGATATTTACTGTGTCATTTGTTGAAATGCCGTCAAATGGCTTGGAGCGTTTACTGAACAGTGGAACCTTGCGCCATACTATCTTGGCTTTGGTGAAGCTGCGAAGCCACGAAGCAGAGCGGAGGCGAACTCGGCTCGAAAGATTGGCGAAGCTGCTAGACCTTTTTCTAACATTTTGTGAGGCCTTGGTTGAATTATTTTATAGGGTTGCAAACATGAATCATTGTTATTTTTAAGCGCATGCGCATACGATTCAACAGGTACCCCGGAGGACTCCTATTGTTCGGCATGTAAAGGATTTAGTCGACCGACTTTTCAGAAATTCCGCTGAACCCAAAATCTTCACATTCGTATCGGGTCTCAATTTTTTTCTCGAATTTCTTGGCAACGACAGCTCCTGTTCCAAGTTCTTGGGTAACCTCATATGTTAGTATTGAACATCCAGGTCATCATTAAACATCGCGATTGTAGATGGAATTTCGACTTCAGACTCAGTACACAGAGAGACCGACATCCGCAGATGGTCCCCAAAAATTCTTGTCACCATGGCGTCATCAGGTGTCCACAACATCATCATGTCGGGATCGCCTGGGTAGTGACGACATCACGAGCCAGTCCCCAAGTCCTCTTCCTCCAGCTGTCTCGATCTGTCATGCAGGTGCGCAGCTCCTTTGCAGATATGAGATCAGTGTCCCTCTTGAGCTGGTCCACAAAGGTCAGACTTCTTCTGCCTCTTAAGGCAGTGCCCTGGGTGGGCTCCCACAGTATGGTTGGGTGGGCAGCAAGCTCAGGGTGGCGGATGCAGTGGCCAGCGAGATTAAGACGACGCTGTCTGATCTTGTGAGTCACTCTCTGCATGCCGTTGTAGAGGTCATCATTCCTCATACGATCCTGCCACGATACGTTGAGGGCTATACGTAGCATGCGAGTGTAGCATCCATCCAGTGACTTCTCCTCCTTGGTTGTGAGGGTCCACGTCTCTGCACCATAGAGTCTTTTGAGCTTTGTACTGATGGCTGACGTCCATACAGTTTTCATGCTGCGAAGTGCTGACCACGCCAATCCTCGTCTGGTCTTGATGTCTTTTTCGCTTGAATCGACATACGCTCCAAGATATTTGAAATCGGACGCGTTCTTCAGCAGCGTGCCGTCTCTGGTGTGGACGGTAGCGTCAGTCGTGTTTTATGCCAGCACTTTGGTCTTCCCAGCGTTGAGATGTCATCCCATCTTAAAACATTCTTCCTCCACCGAGAGGAGAAGGGTACGAGCCTGTTCCACAGTGTTTGAGATCAGTACTATGTCATCGGCGAAGTCCAGATCGGTGACTGTTACTGGAGGCACTCGCCGGCTCTCGCAGTAGGATGCTGCCACAGTTTCCACAAGCTTCTTTGGTATCCCATATGCACTAGGGATATCGAGCATCTCCCCCCTGTGGATTGAGTCAAAAGCCTTTTTGAAGTCTATGAACGTCATCACAGCAGAAAGATTCTTGCTCTTGACGCCCTCGATGCTCCTCCGAAGTGCAATGATTTGACCCACAGTTGTCCTTTTTTGGCGAAAACCATTTTGAGCTGTTCTTAAGAGAGGGTCTTAGAGCAGGGCGGATACGGTTGAGAACCATCCGGTTAAATGTTTTTGCCATGACAGAGCACAAGCTGATGCCCCGGTAGTTTTCGGTGGATGTGAGGTCCCCGGATTTTGGAACAGGGATGATGTTGAGGGTGCTCCATTGATCCGGAAGTTCCCCATTCTCATAGCACTGTT